TGGGAATTTCCCTCCATCGCACCCATTCAGGAAGGAAGAGGGTTCTGTGTCCCAAAGATGATCATGTTTTAGTGTGATATTCTTGTTTTAACTTTGGAGCAAAAGCAAAAGGCATAGAAATGCTGGGGGGGGGGGGGTTCTTTATTAACAGCAAAATTAATCCTTTATCAACCAGGGCTGAGAGTACACTGAGTGATGAACAGGCAGTTAATTAGAAAGTGACACAAAACATTAAAAAAGCTATTTTCAAACACATTTATAGCTGGAAAGTCAAATTTTAAGCTCTATGGTGGGTTGAAATTGAAACCAAAGTGTTTGACCTTCATTTCATTTGAATGGTGGTGGTGGTGGTGGGGGATCTTGTTGTCAAGCACGGAGGTGGCATCATGATGCTGTGTGTGTGTTTTTGCTGAGTGACTGGTGAATTTCAGAAATATGGTTCAATGAGAAACATCTGGAAATATTGGTATGAAGTCTCAAAACAGACAAAGTAAAAAATGTAGCATGATTGCGATTTCTGTGTGGACAACTACTTAAGCGTACTGCTAGATCTGTTAAAGGTTAGCATGAGGAAAAACAAATTCGATGTTTTAAAGTCCAGATCTATTTTTTCTTTTTTTTTTGAATTTGTAGGGGCTAAAAAATAGCAGCAAAAATCACCCAATACAAACAGAACATAACAGTTTAAAAACTCAGTTCTACCAAATATCCTTGAAGGTGTATCAATTAATAATCATCAAGAAAAAAAGCTAAATTACTTAACATATATTTCTCCTTTTTGTATCAACCGAGTCTTATTTTGGTTCAAACTGAAATAATTTTGGCAATTATAACAGATATAAAACATAAAATGTGTGTATGTTAGTATGAATCAATAAAAGACACGGGACAAAAAAACAAAACAAAGATACCTGTTTTCAACTTTAGAAAAAAGTGCATCTCCTCAGATGCACTCAGAAGTTATAAGTAATATATAACGTCCAGGCTATTAAGGGATCCATATTGCTCTTCTTAGTCTGATGAGGATAAAACAGAAAAAAAACAACAACACCAATTTCTTCTCTATTAGCGCTGGATTCACAACACGTGTAATTAGCAAGTTCACACCTGCTGTCTGTGCCTTGTCAAATGTCACCTTAAGAAGATGAATGCACAGAAAAACATTTATTTAGGGCATCACATAGATATCAGTCTGATGAATCTGACAAATTATTATTCATTTCTCCACCAGATGAGAGGTCCAGTCTACTCATAGGAAATGTTATTGACACCTTTAGCTAATAGTGGTGAAGCCAAAAGGAAATAAAGAAATCTGTAAAAGTGGGTAGCAACAACTCTCGCCTTTTACCTAAGCATTAATAAAAACTATCATCTTTCTTAATGTTGAAAGCAAATCCAAAAAGCAGGTCCTCCAAATATAAGACCTACACATTCCTACTATCATACTCTTGATTATGTGATAACATGGCATAGTGAATGGTAAGATTCATTTTTTCAGAATAAAGCATTGAAAATCCTAAAAGTCATAATTGTCTAGTTTGATTTGACGTCCAATTTTAAAGTTAGTTTCTTATAAACCTCAGGAAAATGATTTATTGTAGATGAAAATATTTTACAGCAGTTGTATTTAACCAGCTCGATTACAAAGATGCTCATATCCAGAAAGCTTGAACAAGAAACTTCACCATTAGTCAGACAAAAAAAGTTGCTAAAAGAAGTTTTTTTTTCAGAAATAAACCTGATGAAACTAAAACTTTTCCACTTGAGGAGTTCTGGTTAGAGCATATTGATAGATGGAAAAGATTTTTTATCTCAAATGCAAAATATTTATATATTTGTTAACAATTTTGGTATAGTTACTGCTCTAAGTGGTTTGCTCTGTCAGCTAAAGGCATGTTATAGTCTGTATACTCCAGTTAACGATTAATCGATAACTAAATTAGTTGACAATTATTTCAATAATCGATTAATCACTATTCATCCGATTAATCATTTCAGCCCTACATGAATTTATCAACTTTGCACTCCTGACAGCTGGGCACCAGATTTTACATGCATCAAACCCAGGTGATAAACTTTAGTCACCAGTTATTTCTGGTTAATTTCCCCTTGCTGACATAGTAAATAAAAACATCTCTGTTTTGTTCATGTTTATCCGAAATATAAGAAAGATAGAACTCAACGTCACAGAGCTTATTGAACTTTATTTGGCTTTACCTGTGTATTACTCTCCTTTTCACTGCCCTCCCTTCTTTTAACAGTATAATTCTGGTAGAAACTTTATATACACTCATCTATGGTACTTTTATGAAGGAATGGTACAGTTTGAAATATTGTTGAAAATGCAAATTGAATTGGTTATCAGTTTTCTCCATTCCAAACCAGGGTCACAATTTCTTATAGATTACAACCAGACCATGTGCTTTTCCTTAACGACAACTTTCTTGCATAATTCTGGTAGGATTTTTTGAAAACTTATTAGTAGAACTGTTATATTTAAAGGGGCCATTCAAATCTTAACATTAAACTGTTTCATCCATTCTAACCTTTAAACGTGTATCTGAGGTCATCATGCTGTAGTAACAACAGAATTGTATCCAGGTTTGACCCACCTGACTCAAACTGGAGCCACATGCTTGAGTTTACACAAAGTTTTAATGATCAAATGGGAGGCAGACGGAGGAGTGAAGATTAGGAACACTTTACCAACTGTCAGGCATGTTGGTGGGAGGATCATGCTGAGGGTCTGTTTCAGTGACACTGTTCAGCTGGATGAGATGGACAACTACCATGAAACTAGCAGACGGAGGGCAGAAAGCTGGACACAACTGGGTCAAAAAAGGACAATGATCGCAAACAAATAGCCATTTAGAACAGATACAAACAGGCTAAAGGCTAAAGTTGAATTGCGGGTCTCCAACCACGGTTGTGACAACGGACCCCGAACCGAACATCTCAGAGCATCTTTGGAAATATTCTCTCACCTGCAGACTGAGCAGGCTGCTGCACTGCTGTGAGATTAGATGGGAAGAGGCAGCGGGTTCCATATGTCCGCTCCAGCCTCACTAATTCTTAGTCCATAAAACGCAAACACACACTTTCCATAATTACAGACTTGCCCTTATGTGGGTGTGTCTGAGAACCATTAGACCTCGGCACATTGTACTGGGATGCACACGGTCGAACAAGCTTAGGAAACTGTTTGAAAATATCAGCTGTACGCCAATCATCCCGCCTTAATCTTTTGGCGTTGACACGCTGCAGCCACCCCACCGTTACAAACAGCCTGCAACGAGTAAGACGAAACGCATTTCACAGTGAAAAAAGTTTATTTATGTCATTTTTAGCCTCATGCTGTGAACTTTACATCTCCAACAAAGTTGAGATCCTACAAACCGCAGCATTCATTAGTTGCAGGTGAAGCTGCATTCAAACAAGAACACACTTCAAAAGAACCTGTCTGCAGCACAGACCCTCCAGATTTCCCCCTCCAGGGATTTTTTTTAGATATATGCACGTCTGTGTAGTGATACCAAACAGCTCACTTGGCTTTCCTCGAATGCTCGCCTCTGTAGTGACTACATGGAGCCATCTAGCTGCAGCTCTGTTCTTCAGAGGGAAACTGGGGGAGAGGGATTGCAGACATCGCTCTCTTTCTTACCCCCTGCCCTGCTACAACCCAAGCTTACACACTGCCAAGAACTCACAATGTAGCATTAAAAAGGGGGGCTACTAAACAGGCAGCACTGTGTATCTCAGCTATTGACTGTTGTGTTTGCATACAAGCTGTCGGCATCAGAGACTGGGAAAGGAGCAGAGAAGGGACCAAGGCAAAACGGACGGTGCTGTGTCTTTAAGCAGTAATCCCTCCATTCTCTGAGCATTTGTTGCCGGCCATTTAATGGGCGGATCGGTATAATGTCCACAAGGACCGCTGGGAGATCCTGCACTGTTTGAAAAAAAAAAAAAAAGCAAGAAAAAAATCACAGCAGAGCTCTCAAATTGGGATTGGACCTGCCTGCACAGTTCTTAAATAACCAACCGAGTCAGGCTCGGAAAATTAAGGACGCCCTGATTTAGCATTTCAAAAGGGGAGGAACAGGGCTCATCTCAGCAACAAAAGGGATGACAATGTTGACATTCCCAACGCGTATCCTTTGGTGTTTTCCAAAGGAAACTGGAGATTGCCCACAGGGGTGGGTGGGTGTGGGGGTCTGATGTGAACGGGGAGCACACTGCACTCTTCATGTCTTCCCTACAACCTGCTGCCATCAAACACCGGCAATAAAATCTGATCATCCAAAGATCTGATCCACAGTAAACAGTGAGGCTCAGCCATCCTCCATATGTTACCACTGCCCCCTACCAACAGAGGATCACTGTAGCACTGCAAATAGGTTGGATCTATTCTATCTCCTGCAAGAAAAATAAAACATACACTTTAAAAATTATTTTTCTCTCAAAATATTCAATCTTACAAAAAATAAAATACTTTCACCAATATTGGCAGTATGTAATCAAAAAGACAATGTGAGAGTGATTTTCAGCAAACAGGTGGCTGTGATTTAGTACTTTTAACTCAATGGAGCTTTAGTTTTAAGATGATAATATGAAAAGCTGGAATATGAACTAGTGCTGCTTCAGAGCGAGGAAACTATAATGTTGCAACCCTGCTGCTGCTGGCCTGTCTTGCAGAACAACTTCCACCCGATAACAAACAAGAAAAGGAGAAGTTCTCTCCTCATGCAATGACCCCTCCTCCTCCACCAACGCCATTAAGTTTCTCAGCTTGTTTTTTGTTTTTAAACAAAATCTGAACTGTTTTCATAAACTTTCAGACTTCCTCTCCACTCATCCCGATCAGCTGTCACCAGCAGCCCCCAAACATGGAGCGGATGCTGCAGAGTACAAACTAAAGGTGGAAAACGTGCAGCGTGTGTTGCACCGTGCAGGTACATGCATAGTGTTTGAAACAGCAGCGTGCATGCCGGGTTCCTCACCGCAGTCAGGGTGCTGTTCCTCAGCTCCGTGCCGGACGCAGAGTCCGCGTCCTGATGCTGCTGCTGTTTGCTCTGCGGCTGCTTGCTGCCTCCACCGCCGCCAGACTTCTTGGTCCTGGACTCCAGGCTCCTCTGGTACAGGTGGGCAGTGTCCCTCCTGTCCAGCTCCAGGTGCTCTGAGTGCGCCTGCTGGTACCTGCTCTCGCATATGGTGTGGTGTCTCCGGCAGTCCTCTATACGCTGCCTCAGCCTCGCCACCACCGTGCTGTGTTTAGGGATGCCCACCGCTCCGCTGCCGCTGGCCGGGTTCATGCTGTTGTTGATGCAGATACTGCCGTTGGGTCCGACAGCGGGGGAGGCAAAGTCCCCCATCACCGCGGCGAGGGGCTGCTATTTTGGAGGAACTTTTGTTTTTTTTTTTCTGTTTTTTTTTGTTTCCACCTCCCCAGTCCGCCAACCCTCCACTTCTTTTTTTCTGTCTGCGAGCGACAAGCGGCCGAACACCGCGAGGGTTTAAAGGGCTGCGCACCGAGCGCGTCTCCGGAGCTTTACGCACACAGAAATAACCCGGCTGCAAAGCTAAGACAAACTCATAACTTTCATCAAACAATACAGCTGCTGCTGCCACGCTGCTAACAGCAACAATAACACCAACTCCACAGTATAAAGGTTAGTCCCCCCCCGGTCATGGAGCTGCAGACCGTCCCGCGGAGGAGCAGCAGCGGCTCCTGGAGCCGCTCTGTGCTCTTCTCCTTGGACAAAAAGTTTTGCTGCCTTAACCGAACAAGCTCAGGAGTTTCCAGGTGAACTTGCATCTCATAACGTTCCTGTTCCCTGAAAGAAATCCCGGCGATTTCATGCGTTGCCTTTAGTTGGTTTACATTTACAAAAAAAAAAAAAGAAACAAACAAAATATTTTTTTTTTTTTAAAAAGGAGCACAAGCGCCCTCGATAGACCGTTTGTGAAGCAAGTCGAGTTTAACGCAGACGGCGCTAAAAAAAAAAAAAAAAAAAAAAAAAAAAAAAAAGAAAACGCGGATATGAAAAGCAGGAGCGGAAGTGTGTAGTCAGTGGCTCCTGGCTGCCACCATCATCATAATCAGATCCACAGATTCACCATGCCAGCGGAGTGATATCAGGACAAGAGGGAGAGAAGCAGAGAGCGGCGGAGAGGAGCCCCGAAAACCCGGAGCAGAGGGCTGGAGAGTGGGACGACCTAAAAACGTGTTTACTGTTTACATCCGGACCGGAAGGCTCAACGCGCACCGTGAAAATTAAAGCGTCAATAAAGAAGAAAAAAAAAAAAAAGTCTCTCCCGCTATCAGGATTGTTTCCCCCTCTCCCTCAGTTCAATTAAAATATATATTTTTTTTTCTTAAAAATGATTGTTTGACTTTATTGATCTCACAGTCAGAGGCGTAGCCTGAAATTTTTTATAAGGGTGCCCTGATAATAAGAATGTAGACTGAGGGGGGGGCACCAGAACCTCAGGGTCAGCCTACTCTGATCCCTAGCAAAACATCCATATTTTATATTTCTAAATAAAGACGAATACTTTCCTACAGCCTTTGTTAACAAATAGATGCATATATTTAACCCTTTATAGGGTGCTCAGTGAAATCCTTTGAAAAAAAAAATCAAGCCAATAGTGTTATTGGAATCCAGGACAAGACCTTATTACCTTTGCAATATGCAAAAAATATGGATTTTTTTTTTTATGGCAAAAATTGTAACAAGAAACGCCAACTTGCGCGAATATATTAAGAAGAATAAGAAAAGTGCTTCTATAACAAATTCACGAAAAACACGCTGAGTGAAAAGAAGAGTGTGAAAGAGAAGAGAGTGAAAGAAAAAACTTTTTTTTTTGGTCCAACATAACCTTGAAGACATTAATGCTGATACTGGCACTTAAATTTTTTGTTTATAAACCTAAATATCATTGTTAAAGCTACAGTGTGTAATTTTCAGCGACATCTAACGTCCAGACTGCAGACCGCAGCAACATGAACATCTCCCCCCCACCGCTTCCCCCCCCAACAGTACGGCGAGCGTTACGGGACAAAATGTCTTCCACGACGTCCGCATCACCTACCTTCTCAAGTGATGAGGTTNGTATATCCCTGTAATTATTACACACTGTAGCTTTAACTAGGCTTTTTAACTTTTTACACTGGAAAAAAAACCCAAATCTAGTCATTTTTTTCTTAAAACTAATGATACAACAAGGGTTTGCAAGTGATCAAAAATGGTAACTTGCACAATAGAGGGTTAAACATCTGTAATTTCTAGATAAAAAGTATAGTGGATAAAACTCGTTTTTTTAGTTCTGGGGCGTAAATCAATCATTATTGTTATTATTTACCTACTTGTATGAATAAACATTCTGCATAAAAATGATATTTATAAGCACTAATATCTACATAAATTGATTATTTAATAATTTTTTATTTAAGTTGTTATTTACCTTTGATTTCACTGAGGAATCCTAGATGACTTGCAGAGACACATCATTTTCTCTTTACCCCATATGACAAAAAACTTAGCTCAGAAAAGAGCATGAATTCTGTACTTATCATCTTTGATGTTAGTATAGTGATGTGTATAATTAACCACAAAAAATTTAAATGTTTTGAATATTCCACTTGAGAGTTTTACTGTTGTCACTGTCTGTATTAGAGGGGTAAAAAATGGTAGGGGTGGCCAATGATTGGCTAAGGATGGCCCCCTGGCCCCCCATCTAGCTCTGCCCCTGCTCACAGTGGAGAAATGTACCCCTTACATCAGTATTGTTTCCAAAAAAGACAGCTTTTTTTTTTTTTTTTTTTTGTAGGATCATTATAAAGGATACTTCACAGGGTGTTTACATGGGTATTTATATAGATGGATTTATATAATTTTTTTTATATTTATATATATATATTGCACAGGGTATCAAATAGTAATTGTATATTATATATTGCACAAGTTGTTGCTGTTGTAGTGTCCCATTGTAGAGTCTGGTACAAAATTTTGAATAAAATGTGCCAAATTTTGTACAAAATGTAAAAGCTACTCATGTGGAAGACATGAATTACTGCATGAGAACAAACAGTGGAGGAATTTGGTTACTGTATAACTTACACTCAAAGCCAACACATCTTCCAGCACACATGGTTTTAGCAGCCATTCTCCAATCACTTAGCTGCACTTCTATTACAGGTTTACCTACAAAGTAATAACAGTCTCCATCCTACTCGGAGTATTATAACACTTATTCCAAAACTAGGCACATACTCTTTACTGAAATTTGGAGAACTTGTTATATGCCTGCTAAATTACTATGAAGTAATTGCTTTAATATTAATAATGAAGGAAGTCTTGGACTCAGTTAATGTTGAGACGCAGTAGGCTTTTTGAGAAACAGGCTCATCTTTAATAATATTAGTTTTAGATGACCTAGATTGCTCTTAATTGGTACTTGATGATAGCTTTAGTCTCTTATTGGTTTTCCATCAGGCATTTAGGAAGACAGAACATGAATTTATTTATTTTTTTGTTCTTAAAAAGTACTCTAATACTATAATGACAATAGCTCTATTAAAATAAGAAATGGTCGCTTCCCTAGATGAAGCCTGAAATTTAGTATTCATCAAGACTTTGTCATCTTACAGTATTTATTCCTGTGTTGTACATAAATTGTTAAAACTCATATCTGTACAGATACATAAGAAGGTCATCATTATCCAGCCAGCTGATGACACTACAGTTTTTATTTATTCAAAGTCAGATCTCTCTTGTCTTAGGTATGGTTAGTGATTTCTGGTAGCATCCTATAAGTTTAAAAATATGAATGAAAGACTTTTCAGCAAATGTTATATGTAATAACTCTGGTAATAAGAAGTCACAAATTAATCCCCAAGAATCAAAACTGAAGATGCTCCTCTAACTTTGCTTCAATTATACAAAACAACAACAAAAACTTAACTAATGGCTGCAGAAGGATTTTTTCTCTAAAAAAGACTACTAATCCCAAAGGCTGAGGGGATATCCAGATTGATTGATGCTCTATAAAATAGCTAAAGATATTGACCGTAGGCTTGCATATGGAATTATTTAAAAAAAACAACAACAAACAAAAAAAAACTTTTATTTACCTCTAAATCTTTTAAAATCAACTGGGCTAAATACTTTATTAAGAATCCATTCTCTATCTGAAACGTTATGCCATATCATGTTTTCACTTGTTTTCTTACCTTTTAAAAAGTAATTACAGTGCTCAAAAACTCTGAACCTTCTTCTTTCCATGAGTCTCATCAAGACGCACAAATTTACTTACTTCACAAATACCTTATCTGGAGCAATAGAAATATTTTATTTGAAAACATGTTACTTTTCTGCAAGACCTGGGTTCAAAATGAGGACCTACTGGTGGCTAAGCTAGTTAATTAGGAGAACGACTGCTTAGCTACAAATAATTTATCTCACAATATAACTCCCCAATCAGTTCTTGGAAATTCTCAGTGGTATTTGATGCCATATCCTCGGGAACTCTAATACTATTTGAAATACCAAAAAAATCCTTTTTAGAGGAAGTTGGAAACAAAAATAAGAGAGTACACTGTTTATTCCAATAGGCGATAAAAATGATATATATACATATATATATATATATACATATATATATATATATATATATATATATATATATATATATATATATATATGCATTTTGTTTTCCACTAATTGAAATGTCTTTAAATACACAAAACATGAAATCATCAAGCTGTAGTAAACAGATAAATGGAGGCAAAAGATGTCTTTCAGTCATCAATGCACACATTCAACGACACACAGGAGCTCATTCAAGCTGGGCACCATTTAATTCACAACATCTGTCCCATCAACGTAGAATCAGAAACAGAAATACTTTAATAATCCCATTACTCCATCTGTGACTATAGGACCAGTTTGATATAATACAATTTCATACAGTATATAAAGGGGAGTCCCCGCTCCATCTCGCCATCAATTTGGGGGTCCTTAGCCTGGAAAACGTTGATTTAGACAAGTACTCAAAATTCGTATCATGACTAGAAACGTGTCACATAAACAGTTATTATTGTTAGTATTTTAATTAGACTTTCAGCCTGTCATAAAGCGAGGACAGATGGACCCAGTATTCAAGGAGACAGTCAGTGGGCAAGTACAAAACGTTTATTTAATGAAAAACAAACCAAAAGGGGAGCTGCTAGGATCTGTGGCACATGGCAACTGCAGGTGGGGGGCGGGCACCGCCTCATCTCAGACACTCTGTTAGTGGGAGAAACACAGGTAAGTGATCACGATCATCTGACAGAAGATGATTATCTGAGTTGGTAACTTACCTGGTTTAA